GTGCTTCCTTGATCCACCTCCTTCCTTTCTGTCTTCCTATCCCATTCCTTCATTCCTTCTCCCATCTCCCTCGCCCTATATCTTTCCTCTGCTATACTTGTTCACTTTCTTTCTCTCCTTTACTTGCAAACCTCCCTGCTTTACATCCTCACTCCCTCCTCCCTGACTCCTCTCTATAGCCTTGAAGGAAAGCCAGCCAGTCATGAGGAGGATGTCTCCTAGCAACAGCGACATCCCTCCCATTCAGCATCAGGATGAACCAAATGTAATTTTTTGGGATGAAGAGGGAGAGACTGTGATTGGAGGAAGAGGAGGGTTGTGAGGGGGGGATAGTTAACAGCTTAAATCTGACATTGTTTGACAATGGTACTTGTTTTGCGCTGATGTCAATAACACAGAGTTGATTCAAACATCACAGACTAACTGTCAGTTGACTCTTTTTTGATGACCTTGTCAATGTGTCCTTGAAGTATTTTGCACAGATAAAAACATGGAGGGATGGCGGAGGGATAAAGGACTCTGACGTTTACTCGCCAGCGTAATATTTTAACATCTTTGCCTTAATGAACACTAGACAGACTCAGATTCATGAGTATGTGTCATGTTTTCATTAATTTCTTAGGACAAAAATTGCTTTACAGCCACAGAGACGCTGGAAAAAACATTTTCCTCGAGCTGGATGGGCTGATTTTTATCTACTGGTCGGGAAAAGTGCAGAAAATCAATGTCAGTAAACATCGACTGAAAACTGTGATTCCTCTCCTGGGTGCTGCAGTATGTACAACACATAGAGCGTATGTAAATATATCTCTACTTCCTCCCACTATCCAGAAATCAAGCCAAAATATGCAGGATACAAACGCTGCCATCTTGTGCTGAAAACATCATTTAGAGCCAGAGTCTGCACAGCGGTGATCGGGGGATCAGGGAGACGTGGTAACCAGGTCCTGCCAATACGAGCTCTCCACCAATCACGGGTCATCTCAGCTCACAATCAAGACCTTTCATCCCATTAAAACCAAACGTACTGAAAAATGATCACCTGAACATTTATGAATCTAAGAACCACCCCCAATGAAAATCATCTTTGAGAAAAATGTATTTGACCTGTATTTTGACTTTTTAGTTTGATCCATGCATCTACTAACAAGGAGGACATGGAGTGTATGCTGTGTACTGCAGCCACCAGGGGGCGATCAAGACACTTTGCAGTGTCATCCATCTAGCCTATGGAACAGACACAAACACTAATGGTGAAGGTTATCTCCTTTTTTTGCAACTTGTCAAAGGAAACATCTGGATTTGAGGTGAGATTTCACCAAGGGTGGATTAGAAAATATTTTAAAAAGCTTATGAAATATTGACACCACTGCCTGAGGTTTTAAGACATTAAGTTGCAAAGCTATGGCACCACTTTCTTTCATAAAGCTGCTCCTTGAAGGGTCTGCATGATTCCTGACAGGACCACTTCCTTCAGACAGTATTTGAGCTTCTCAGACATGAAACACCAAGAAACCACACTTCTCACAGTCTGCCTCTGAAAGTCCGACATATGAACACTCCAAATGCACAAAATAGATTTGCATAGATTTTCTGCTAACTTATGGTTTTTGAATAATAAAGTACCGATGTGGCCAAACTTGCACTAAGCTCTGTGTTTTTAACATTTCATGACCGTGGACACTACTTCTGCAAGGACGGAACACTGCAATATTCATACGTCCAATAATGTCAAAGAAGTTTTCAGACGGATGCAGAACTGCAACTCTTTTCTTTTCTTACCTGATGAAAACCAGCAGCCGCTCGGATCCACGTTCAGACCAGGAGGAGCAGATGGGATCTAAGAGGAGCGGCAAAGATAAAGAGTTAAAACAAAACAAGAGAATGGTCACGTAGCTTTGTAGCATTTGTTACACTGAAGACAGGTGAGGACTGAGCAGGAAGTGTCCGAAAGCACTCACTAATCTCCATATAGTGAATTTGCCTTGTTATGCTCTCAAAATGTTTCTGCCCTATATAGTGGACATGAAAAGCTGTGGTCACAAACCGAGCAATATACAGCATCATACATTGAAGAAAAGAGATGAGAGTAAAGAGGGCAGCACGTCTCAGTCTTCGCTCTGTGGGGATTCTACTCCTTATACATATCGAAAACATTTGAATAATCACGTGGATAAGAACAGTCGTAATGCTGCGACGACGTTGTTACCTGCAGAGAGGGAATGTGTCGAGCTCTGTCCACAACACACTGGGAGGCAGGTGGGCAAATTGAAAATCCCAGACTCCACAAATACACAGCAAAAGGGCAGAAGAACAAACTGGGATCGTGTGAGCGAAGCTGAAACACGAGGGGAGGGAAAAATGGCTGCACACAGGAAGCGAAAGAGTTGAGGACAGGTGCAGGTGATTGAAGAGGCGGGAAACAAGGAAGTGAAGTGACCAATAATAAGACACAGGAAGTAAAAGGAAAGGAAACCTAGTTTTCACCAGTACTGAGGGCCAACACCTTCTTATCCAAGACGGCTGCTCACTTCAGACGGTTGGCTGTGAGCGGAGCTGGTAACGACTCAGAGGAAGGTATCTGTGAAGTCTGCACTGAATCCAAACTGGAGGCCCTGAGGTGTCGACTCACCTGGAGCCTCATCACAGCTCTGAAACACATAAGCTGACTGATGCTGTGGAGAAGCTTGAAGGCAGGATGTGTGAGATGCAGAAGATTCCTCCAGAGCTGTTGCACGAGGCTGACCAAGTGTATGTGTGTGTGTGTGTGTGCACATAAACAGATCATATAATCATCATGTTTCTCCTCCACAAGGGGAATAAGGCTGAGCAAGACGAGCTGAGAGCCGAGGATCAAGATTGAGGAGGTCACACAGTCAGTGAAGCGAGTGGAACTTTACTGCTGTGGCTCAGTCTGTTGACACGTCTGGCCGAGCTCGCTGACATGATTAAAAAGAAGCTGAGATCTTCATCAAACAACTGGCAGAGGAAATCTCTGAGCTGAAGAAGAGAAGGGATGAGCCGGAGCGGCTCTGATGAGCTGAACACCACCTCCAGCTCCTCCATCTCTGATCCTACACACCGAGGACCGGAATGAAAAAAGGTCCGGGTCGACTCATCATGAGAGGGGCAGAGCCCTCGTTTCCAAACCAAAGAGGATGAGTGTGTTTGTGGATAATGATGAGGGCCTGGTCTCACTAGACTGCTCATCTCCTCCACACGTCCCTGTCCCAGTGATGGTGGGAAAACAGACAAGTCTCATCATTTGCATTACAACTTTTAAAATAAAAGACCCTACTCTCAAATAAATGATTTTAATCTGATATTCACTACTCTACTTGAAGTGTATTGTTTTCTAAAACCTGGCCTTGGCCATTCCTATTTATCATTATTATCTATCAGATGAAAAGTTCTAATCAAATAAAGCCTGGTGTAATGTGGAGGTTATACTGGCAGTGACGAGCCCCCAGCAGACAGAGGCTTTTAGTCTCATCCAGCAGATAAATGCATCATATAAACTAGACTGTCCATCACCACGGTAACTAAGCTTCTGAGTGACTCGTGTTTCTTTTAGAGGAAGTGGCCCCTCAATCAGGACATGGCTATCACGTCCACTTGGCCTCTAATTACAGGTATAGGGAATTAAAATGACTTAAGTGACTCGTGCTTAAAGATGATAAACTGATAAAACATTTATATTGAATTGTTTTTATCTTTCCTCTCCATCCCCTCTGCCCATCACACTTTCCCCTCCTGTCACCTTGCTTCCTCTGCTTCCTCCACCGTTCTTGTCCTCTCCTTGCTCATCAGTCTCAGCCTTTCTCTCCCTCCACTAGAGTGGGGACTGACACCAGATGGTTCGTTGTCATCTGAGAGGGACAGGAAAGACTGCTCCGCTCTCGCAACCTCTGCCAACGTCCTTGAGGGAGGACATGACACCGTGGATTGAAACAACTGTGTGGCTGGATCACGGCTGCTTCAACTTCACCTTCCCATCGCTCTCTAATATGATTGAGTCTTACTTCGGCTCATTTCAAATCTTATTAAAGTAAATATGTTAATTTGAGTTTTTACTCCTTAATAATTCCTTAAAGTAAAATAACTTTTACTTATTTGACAGATAGCCTATTGTGTCCCTGTTATTATCGATGATAATCACATATAATCTCGAGTAACAGTTGTTTATGTGTTAGTTTGTCTAATGCTGACAGGAGAGCCAGAGGACAGGAGAGGGTTTTATATCGCTCTCTACTGGTGGCTGAGGGGTATTACAGTGAAACCAAATATTTCCTGGTACAAATGGGATGTTGCCACTCGGAATGCCAACGCATACAATTTCCATCGAGGAAGACAAATTCATAAAAACATAATTTAATTTGCTGACAAAACTATAGCATACTAGGGCCCACACATCTTTTTTCCTAATTTAGAATATTATTTATTGCATACAAGTCTATTAGTATATCTCAGAGCAGTCACTGATCATTTGTTTGTGTATGACAAATAAAAGATTTGAATCTTGAATCTGAATTACAATAACATAAATGTGCAATAAATAAAAAGGAAAGATTTTAACATCTGTTACTTTAAAAAAAAAAAAGATTAAATTGTTTATTTGACGATAAAATGCGATGTAAGTAAACAATACCAAGCAAATTAAATGAAATCCGTAAATCTATAAATTCTAAACCGGCTCTATGATCCACACTTTCATTCCATGTTTCAATCCATTTTCATTTGGTGCATGTTACTTCATTTTTACTTCACCATTAGGTCTTTCTGGTATTTAGATTTATTTTAAATTGAAATTGATTCCCAGAGTGCCATGTTTCTCTTAGCATTCACTTTGACCTACTAATAAGCACAATGAGGCCTTGTTAAAAATAAATGGAAACCTTTTCGGAAAGATGATCTAAACAATAATTGTCAATAAATTCAACATGAAGAATAAATTCCATATACAACTGCTTCACATCAAACACACAGAGAAGACACCAGGATGTCACGTGTTTTTATTCTGTTATTTGTTACATGTGACCATCAACTTCTAAGAAGTTATAGTTGCCATGGAGATACAGTAAATATATTCAGATACTAAGATAGGAAAAGTGTGTGTGTGTGTGTGTGTGTGTGTGTGTGTGTGTTGGTGGGGGAGGTTGTGGGGCAGTTATCAGTTGACAGAGTGCACAAGTTGAAGACAGTTGTGACGTCAAGTGACGAGGAGCGGAATAAAACTTTAAAATCATCTCTGAAAAACATCCAGTGAGGAAAAGGAATGGTCTAACACTACAAGCAGAAACAAAACAGAAACATGAACCCACATATAAAAGAGTAATAAATAAAACGTGTTATTTTACAGATACAACAACAGACAGCGGAGATGTTCATTTCTCTCTGATTTGGTGTGTGTGTGTTTGGGAGAGAGAGAGAGAAAAGGACAACAATGGAGAGGAGAGGTCTCCCTCCCTCCCTCGCTCTCTCTCTCTCTCTCTCACTCCTGTGGCAGGAATCAGCATCCGCGAGCCTACAGGTGCGTTACTATAGCGACGCGTCAGGAGAGGAGGCAGGAGCGGGGCGGGGCGGCAAACTGTGGGGGCCGGAGTCGGACTCGTTTCTAAGGCTTCTTATGGCACGTCCGCACGAAAACACTACGGCGACCGCAGCCAGAGTCCGAGGGTCCCAGACCACGTCCAGGTCCACTGGTCCCTTCACTCTGGCTACATCTGTATGCTCCGCACCGCGCCACCCCCCCCCCATCCCTCCTCTCACCTCCGCTACACCCCCAATCCACCCCCTCCCCAGCCTGACTCTAGAAGGCACTGGTATAATATGTATTTCTCCACATTCTAACATCTGGATTCTCTATTTAAGATGAGCGATTTGAGGCAATGAGGATACACACACACACACACGCACACACTCACACACAAAAAGAAAAAAAACAAGTACAGATACACACGGGCCAGCCGGGTAACTTACGGGGGGGAAGGGGGGGGTACAGCCGGCTCCTGATGATGCTACCAGTTTTTTCTTTAATACCTGCGTTAGGGTTACAAAGTTTTTCTTCGCTTAACAGTCAGCTGACGGCGGAGGCAATCGGATATGTAAACGTCGACAAGGCGAACATCATGACAGGCGACAAGAGACATACAAAATCAATATTCCGATATGGTCCATAAGTAGGTTTGATCTTTTGAGATGGCCTCAGCGAGTAATTACTTGCATCTTTGAAGAAAACTCGGACTGTATGCTGCCCTCTACCGTGGCTGATACTGTGAGTACACTGTCAAACTAGGTTACCGGGAGAATTTGATTTTCTAAAGCCAAACACAGACCGTCACTTAGCTATTCCTCACAATCCTGTGATTTGTCAGGTTGTGGCATGAATCTTTTTGAAAGCTGCAGGTAACTACCGCTGAACAACACAAACACCTTGAGGCCATGTGGATACATTGTCAATAGGAATCTAATTGTGTACCCCACTAATCGGTTTTCCTCAGTTTTGCCTATGTGCATGTGTATCTACAGAGTGAGTGGACAGAAAGACACACGAGGTTAGAAAGACTGGCTTGTGCACAGAGCGCAGGAGTGTCTTTGTTGCGAAAAACTCGCTGTTAAAAACGGCACGCGCTCTCTGGTGAGGAGTCGAGCCGTCCCATTGGATATTTACACAGTGAACGGGGGAGGGGGGAGGGCCGACTTCTACTCTACACACTTGAGTTTGGCCGGTACTCGAGTACATTTGGAATGGTTCACTATGGTGATACTAGTAAGAAGAAAAAATCTTACGTCTCCTCTGCAGCTAAAGTGTCTATCGCTAGTTTTCCTGGTTAACATCTGAGACGCAAAAGCACTGGAAGTGATGTTTGATGCCGTGATGGTGCAGCTCGGTGGAGCGCTCCTCCGTGGCTCAGTCTGGAGTCTGGTTTATGCAAAAAATATTTTTTTATCTACGTAGGGTTGGACAACTTAAATCCATAATCCTATAAATGAATGGAGGAATACATCTTTATTTTCTCCCTTCCTTGGATTCTCTCAACAACCACTCTTTCTTTCCTTCCTTCTCTCAAACCTGAACCCTCCATTCATTTTGAACTCATGCTATGTTTAAGTTGACCCAGAGCCCTTTGATGAAGCAGTTGTCTGTCGCTTGTAACATAAAAAAAAACTAAAAAAAAACATAAACTAAAAGGCAACTTTAAATATATTTGCCTGTTTTTAATTAAAATACTATACATACTATTAGATATTAAAATCTGTCCTGCATTTACGTTGATGTTAAAATAGGAAATCATCGTCACGGTCAGCCATGTTTTTTGTTTAAGTTTGGCTTCCTGTGCCTGGAACGTTTAGAGGTCGGGAAATCTCAACTTCTGACGTGCCTTGAACGCAGCATCAATAGATCCTATCACACCCCACGAACTTCACTCACTGACAGGCACTTTTTGAACAGGCAAAAACACAGTTACTAGTTTAGTGTTGGGAAATACACTTACTCACTTTCCTGAGAGTTAGATAAGATGATTGATATCACTCTGCATGATGGACATGAAGCTGGAGACAGAAGCTGCTTCCTTTAGCCTAAAATACAGACTCTGCTCAGTGTAACCAAAACGGCAACAGATTATTTTTGTGTTTTAATGTTTTTCATTGTTCGAACTTGATTGAACTGAACTGTGTTAAGTGTGGGAGACTGAAACGGACTTTGTGTATGTACGCACTGAACTCTGGACGTGGAGACTGTGGGAGACATACGCACACACCTCTTTTCCATTCTTTGGTTATTTTGGTTTATGTCGTTTTCTGCGAAGTCAAGTCCCACATGTTCTTTAGCGTTCTCCCAGAAAAAAAAAAACAAGGTATGAACTGAGCCGAGGCAAAAAAACCGAGGTCAGAACCGAACCGTGGATTTGGCGTATCGTCACAGCGCTAGCTCAGCGGTAAGAAAATACATCCGTCAGCACGCTCACTAAATTAACATCATATTATATTGTGTTTGTTGAAACGATTGTTTGGATGGAATCATTTGTAGCTGGGCTCTGTAACTACTTGGTTCTAGCTTCACATCTAAACTGAGTGATGGCTTCATTGATTGAACAGTAAGTTGTCGAGTAAAAAGTTATCATCTGTGAGCTTCAGAATAAATAAGATATATTCAGAGATGCTGGAAGATGGATGATTTTTTTGAATGATTACATGCTGAATGTTTTCCTGTCGTTTCCTCAGTCCGTGTGAGTAACGACTGTCCTGAACAGAGTGGCATCGATTTTCTCATCTGACCATCAGGAAACCAACTAAGCACTTCCTCTTCTTTTCCTTTATCGTGTCATTAGATCTAAGACCGCGTCATTTTTGAAGTTGGTGTATTCACGTTTTGCCTCGATAAAACCAACTCCTCGCTACCATCGGTGAACATATCGCTCTCCCTTCTGACTGAAACTAGGGGCAGTGCTCAGAAAATTCATTCTTTGGCCCTCTGTGGATTCTCCAGACCTCAGAGCAGAAATGTCAAAGTACTGTGATGCACTTGAGCACCATTTGAACTGATAGAATGATGAATGTATTTACAATACAAACATTTCCAGTGCATTTGTGCCTTCAAAGAAAATACTGTACATAGGGCTAAACTCCATCTGTACACGCTACCTACAGGATACAATGACGCTGTGTCAAACATCGGACTTCATTTCTTTTTTAAACATTGACTTTGTATGCAAAAGGAGACATTTTATCATACAGCAGAAAGTATAGCTTCTGTTCCTTTTGACAGTGTCACTTGTGTTATTTTGTCTCGCTCGTCTATTTCCACATGACCAAAAAAAAAAAACAACCCCGGCCGCTATGAAAGTATGTGATAATAAAAATAAGTCACATCGCTTGTGGACCATTTGGTTTCTTTCTCCCTTATTAACAGTTTGATCCACGCAGGACATCCCAAGCCATCAAAACAATAACATTAAAATAAAAGGTTTTTCTTCGTCTTTCTTACCATCCTGTCTTTTGAGGTGAAATGTGAATCAACAGAGTAGTTTCCCATCATTGGTGGAACAGAGAACAGCTAAAAAACATGGCTGCCTCTTACATCAAGGCAAATCAATAAGCTTCAGAGTGGCAGTCGAGACTTCTTTACACGGATAACTTCTCTCCGCTGCTCCTCTCTGCTTTGAAATCTGTGGATCCCTCACGAGTTTTGGAATGGACAGGTTCAAAATAAATAAAGAGTTTTTAAAAGTCTCTTTTTTTTTGTGTTGAAGTCTCCACTTTTCTGGACGTGTTGCAGGTGGATTGAATAAAGACGGATGAGCAGAGCTGGAGGAGACTGTTGCTGTCACTTAAAAGGTCAAAGTTTATACTCTTTGTACCCCATTGTGAAGCCTAAGGCTCAGAGAGTGTGTCTGTACGATATATATGTGTTTGTGTGTGTGAGGGCGTCACTCTCTCTCTGTGGGGTATGGCTGCTACTTGAAGATGTAGTTGATCACGACCTGAAGGAGGATGAGGAAAACGATGATGACGTAGTCGCGCTGCTGGAGGAAGGAGCCGCCCTCCACCCGGCCCGACGCGCGACTCCGCAGCACACCGATGCTCCTACGAACACACGCAGATTAAATGTAGCGGCTGCAAAATGTACACGACACATCACAAGCATCACAGTGTGGCTAATGTCCGTCTCACCTGTTAATGTCCTCCTGCGTCTGCTTTATGGATTCAATGGCACTTTGAAGTTCACTGAGGTCGGCTCCTTTTTTCCTCAGCCGACTGTTATGTTTGCTTTTGTGTCCTGCAACAAAGTGTCACAACGGAATTCTGTGTTCACAAACTTAGATATAAGACAATTTCTGGACCTTTTTAATACACAGGACACAATTACAAATAGAAAAACAATAAATACAGCTAAAGACATGTATTTGACCTTTTTGTCAGTTCCTTGCCAAGTGTGTATAACAATCATTTATTTAGGTTGATTTAAATTCTGCTTCTGTTAGCTACGTGTAGCCCTTTAAACTAAAGCTACTGCTGCTGGGACGATCAACAGTGTTTGATTGTGCTGATTGTAAACGCCACAAAACGGATTTGACTGGTTCCTGGATAGTGAAGATAGTTGCATTGTATTTTATACAGGTGTAGAAAAAAACACAGAAACAAAATGTATAACTACACATTTGCCACCTTTGTAAATAAAATGTAAGACTATTATCTATTCAGACTAAATCTAAAGCAGTTAAGGGAACCAAATTAATTAAATAATTTAACTTATTACAGCCCCTAAAACGTCTTCTTCTTCCTCAAAATGACATATTTAAAAAGTCTGTCATGTAAAAGAATGACCCTCACGGCATTAAAGGGCTTAAATCTAACTTGTGACTAGGGTCTATGAATATACCATTAAGATTATATTGTTAGCTATAAAGACTAAAAGCTATTTACACTTAAATATACTTATAAATATATATAAATATATCCAATGTGAAGTACAGGTAGGGCCCTACACTATCACACCCAGGAAAGACACAGGAGTAGAAACTGACACCACCACAGGGCGCTGTTTACTAATATGTGTACTTTGACTTGATTATTGGTCTGTAATAATAATAGCAGTATGTGTGATATTTCTATTTTACTTTTAAACAAACTGCACAAAAACTGTATTTTTTATATAAAAAGTACAGAAAAGTTCTTTAATGTTTTCCTGTGAGTTTGAACAAGCATGAATTTGTGTTTCAATGACTCACGTTCGCTGCCAGACGAGTCCTGGCGGTCGGGTTCGGGTGAAGAGCAGCCACTCTCTGGACTTTTGGGCTTGTCACTCTTATGTTTCCTCTTTGGCACCGTTACCTATTCACACCAACACACACACACACACGGAGACACACACACACACGCAAAGATGAGCAGGTCAAAAAACAGGCGACAAACAAATGAAGCAAACACAAATAATAGCAGCGTCCACTCATGTACAGACAAAATATTGTTTCAGTACACGTCAATACAACAAAACGGTGCAAAAGTTCATCCCCCGACGCAAACTCCCACACAAACATGCGAAGTCGCTGCAGTAGTGACAGCTGTGCAAGGCATGCTGGGACATCAGTGAAATACATCCAGAACACACAAATGATCCAAACCTGCCAAGAGCTGGGAGATTAAAATGAATCAGTTCAAAAGGATTAGACTGTGAGTGGGTGGCAGCTCTTACTCTTAGTGCTTTTTTAATGGGGCGCAGTTTGGAGGCCCTGAGGTTTTTTGTCAGACGAAACATGTTGATTAAAACGTTTTCAGATTTGACATCACAAAACAACCAAAAGGTCGAAACGTTCAAGTGCACAAACAATAAATTAAGGACGGTGAATTATTCCAGATTAAGAATGAATCCTTTTTCAAAGTTAGTTTCTTTGAAATATATATACTTGTAAAGAATGATTTCTTCTATTCTAGTACTATTTTGTGACTAGAGTCATGTAGTATAAAAATGAAATACACTGCGTAGTGGTATGAGCAGATAATCAATCAAACCAATCAGGGCCTAATATGAGGCCAAATCTAAACCCTTAAAGAACTGAAAGGCCCCGTTCAGACCTGAATGTATCTCCTGTGATCACTTGTCACTTCCCGCTCTACATGAAGGTAAACACATTCGTCATTTCTGTTTTCGTGAAGACCGAATGATGTTGCTTCTATCCAGTCGGAGTTATCGGTCATTATGTGATGGTGAGTGTTGATATTGTGTTGGTGGCGTAAAAAGTAGTTTAAAATGTAGCAGGTCAGAGGACGTAAGCTGAATAGGCGGTACCAGGTCTGAACGGGGTCTGACAGGCAGGTAACTATCCACCCCAGAGAAACGATTCTGGATTGGACCCTTGGCAGGTGTTTACTTTGAACTAACACAACGCAGCTGAGTAAAAGTCTAAGAGTCTGTGAGTGATCACAACACAGAAACAAAATGAAGATGAGGACAGGTGAGAGGGGAGCAGGGCATGACGGCCGCCGTGAAGCAACCAGGCACTGACGGCAGTGGTCAGCTGATGTGATGGATGAAGCTGATGACGCTGTTCTCTCTCGATGACTCTGCACAGGGAGGAACCATCTGTAAATCTGGGTGTGGTGTGGTTTACACAGGGCTTAGAGAGATTTTTGTTTTCCAACCAACTCTTTGAATCACTTCCTCTTAATTACTCATAAATGACTACGAATTAAAAACGTAATAGTTTTAATTATTACAAGATGAAGTACATCTGAAGCGCAGATGTCTACATGTACCCTGCTGGTGTTTCTCCTCTGCACAAAGGCGAGAAAAGGAAGGAACAAATGTTTCATTTCCTGCAGTGTGACATGCCCTTCCCTCCCATATAAAGAGAACAGCTGGTGCCGGGGCAAGACAAGGGAAAAAAAAATAAAAAAAATGGTAGAGACATAAAAGGAGCAGAGGCGACGGCGGCGGTGGCAGCACAGCGATGACGACACACACAGAAGAAGCGACAATGAAGATGAGGGTGCTGCGTGGAAGATGGCTGAGGCGGCGAGATGCTTTTGTCTTTTTTTTTTTTTTTTTTAATGGCGGCTTTTCGATCGGGACAACCTACCTGGCACTTGCAATTGTCCCTCCGCGGCCCCTGGTTACTCAGACTAATAAGACTGCCAGAACGTACCATAGGGGTGCGGTGTCGGACCTTGGTCTGGATGCAGCCGTCCTTTTCAAACTGGATCAGGTCGTTGAGTGGATCCCATGGCCTTGTGCTGGAGGGGTACAAGACGCAGAGTTGCAGTTAAAGACATTTGCCACTAGATGGCACTATGTCACAATGGACAACTCAATATGGAAGAGGAGGACACAACTAAAGTATGAATGAAATGTAGACCAGATGTGAACTAAATAATTTAAAGAGCAAAACTGTGGGTTCTGTAACACAATCCTCTGCACAGGAAAAATGCATTAAGGTCTCTAAAAGGATTTCTACTATATGTTAATGAAATAATTATATATAAGTCAATTTAATAATGATAATATATTTCTCACAGCAAAGACACATTTCAATAAATCATAAACACACAAATATTAAAGAGTAAAAACCAAGCAATTTCAACTTAATATCATCTTTTCATCTTTTCTTATGACCCCTTTCATTAATCTTTAGATAATCTGTAATAAATACTAAAATGCCCAGTTTCTTTATCCACAAATTATCCAGACCTGCTGAGCATGTTGCTTATGTGTTTCCAATTTGTAAGTGGTGATGGAAAAACTGACTGATAATAGTGACTGATATTGGCTTAAATTGTGCAGACAATAAGCAACAAGAAATTGTACTGTACATTTAAGACAATTATATTTGTGGTAGCTTGAAACTGCGTCTACATTACATAGTTTATCCACAAGAGGGCACAAGTTTCATTCAACTAAGGACCCTGCATTTTGTTTCACAATATATTCATCATTACAGTCTTCTCTGTTTTTGTTATGTGTCTAAGTTAAAGAACACAAACGTTGGATGAGATGTTTGATAAAACTAGAACCAGTGAGTCTGTACTGGCTCATTCCAAATGTACGCTCAAATAATGTTTTCATTCTCTGGTCTGTTCAGTCCAGTAGATGTGGTAGAGCCACCTCGTGCTTGATAATGTGATGTCATGCTTCAAGAGAATAATCACTCACTCAGCATATCTGTAATGCCACTCTCCAGTGACGGGGTCCTGCTCAAACAGGGCGGAGATCCACTCCTCGCATTTGGCTTTCCGCTCGCGGGCCGACTTCCTCTGAGCTTCCTCCAGAATGAACTTCTCATTGGTGGCCTCGGTCTGGTCCTTGTTGTTGATGGCCCGGGTCACGTGCTGCCACAGTCTGATGGACAGACAGAGGACAAAGTGGTCAAGTATAGTTTGGACGGTTTATCCCACAACAGACGACACAGGGTACAAAAACTAATCATGAATGTGTCTTTATCCTACCTTTCTGATTCATACTCTCCCTGCTCCTCTGGTGGGACAGTGCAGCGGGTCAGTCGACTCTGTCTCAGGTCTGGTGTCGGATTCCAGAAAGTGTCCACTGTCCCCGTCTTCTTGTCATTGATGAAGATCTCGCTGTCCTGTAAGTGTCACAAAAAAAATATCGTCTTTAAAGACAGATTCTACCTCTATTTTCTATATGTCTGCTAATACGTAAAAGTGACAGCTTTATTGCTTGAAATTATATGACTTCTTTCTATTGTTCTTCACATTTCATATTCACATATATCAGAGTCTCACCCAGTGTCCTTCTAGTGTGGCTAACACCTCCTTTCCCAGCTTAATCTTTCCATAGATCTCATTGACACAGTCGCTGCTGCCCAGGAACGGCTGCAGGAGAGAGAGGAGAGACAGTAGTAAGTTAGCAACAGAAGTAAGTCAGCAAGCAACCTACCATCAACCTTAAATTAAACTTGGTTAATGAACATTTTATTTCAATCGCTTACAAAGTGAAGGAGGGCATCTTCTAATCTTACAAGGGTGAATTTGAAAACACAGTCCTACCTTCAGTTTGAACTCCAGCTGAGCACTGTAGCCTGTTTTCTCACACGCAATAGTGATCTGTCCACCCAGCTCCAGGGTCATGGTGCCATACAGGATACCTAACAGAGGTTAAAACATTCAGTCGACTCAGATAGCTGGAAAAGTCAGACACGAGCTGAAACAAACAGTGGAGCTCAATAACAATCTAAAGTTAAATCTACGGATTAGACGAAGAGTACTTCAAAATGTAGACCCACAGAACCAAGCATAACACTCTAGTCTTGGTAAGGTACAATTACCTTGGTGTGGCACAAAAATTGACATGCAATTTTCTATAATATTTGGAATAGTCAGAGTTTAATGTGAAAGAAATTACAGCTATGCAAATTGTCATTGTGGTGTAGAGGAGGAATTCTGACCTTTACAGTGGGCGTAGGGCATGTTCATCACATAGTCCTCCCCTCGGTTGAGAAAAGTGAGGCGGGCCTCCCCGTCTAATATGGCCGACAGAGAGTTTCCTAAAATTGAAATAATACAGTCAGTACAGCTAAATAAATACTAGCATACTTTGTCTTAGAGTTTAGGTTCTTCTGTGTGTGTTTGTACCATAAAACTTAGACTTGGCAAGGATGCTGCCACTGAGGCAGAATCCATCCTTCCTGTTGCTGACATAGAAGGCAGACACTGGGGGATGATGGGAAACCTGGGAGCAAACAGTGAGTCAGCCTGGATGCTAAAGAGGTGATTTCAAGGTCCATGTATTTGTGTTATGGTCCAAACCAATGCAACAAGCGTTGGAGGAATGATCTGTTAACCAATCAGATCAATCAGTCTTGGTATCTGTCTCCTACCTGTTCTGCGATGTAGAACGTCTTGCTGTTTGTCCTCTGGTGGAGCCACATGCAGCGGTACGTCTCCCCAATAATAGGGTTGTAAGGCTTCTTCAACCCCTGTGGTTTAAACACGCAACAAAATATGATGTTACTCTAGAGTACTGTTTGGAAACTAGTGTCATCCATGGAGCGTGAAGTGTTTCCTCTGCTGACCTTTGGCTTTTTGTAAAACCCAGAAATGTACCACTTCACCACCTTCTTCATGCGGTTGTAGGCGTTCTCTTCGATCGCAGCCCTGAGAATGAAATAAAGAGTCAAAACTTAAACTGATGCTCGTCTGGAACACTCGCTGTTTAACTCAGTGGGGAGAAGTTTGGTCCATCTGCCGTTGTGCAGTTCTCTCGATGAGCTTGCCCATTTTTCCATGGACAAACTTTACAGAGCAAAGATACTCTGTGTAAATCTGGATTTTCTTGTTTTCTGTGTCCAGTGATAATTAGTGAGCAGGAGGGGGTAGATAGACACCTCAGAATCAAGAATCAGGATCCGTAGCCCCTGATTGTACTTTATTTATAAAAGCACATTTTCTTTGATAGTATACAAATAAGACAACAACTGAGGACATATGGAGGATTTCCTAAATATTTTATTGCTAAAAAAGGCATCATACAAATTTATCTTACTCTAAAATTCAAAGTGTTATAGTGCCTTTATTTATTTTCTTTTTTTTTTAACCCAAATCTCTTGAATCCTTACAAATTGAAACAAGACTTTTCTTCACCACATCAGCAACAATCCTTTTTTAGAGGCTTGCTACATTAAGTAGCATGCAGGATGTTTTTTGTTCTTACAAATTGAAGGGTAACACAAAACTCTAACTCTCTAAAACATAAAAAGCCTCCAGTGAAAACAAAAAGATTTCACTTACTCTGACAGGAAGTCTGCGTGGTAGTAGTAGTCCGAGAGTTTGTCGAGGAAGGATCTCGGCTCCAGGATGAAGGTGGGCAACACCACCTTGGACAGGTCCATGCCAGGTCGGACCTGCTTCAGCAACGTCCAGATCAGAGATTTATTCTCCTCTGATACCGTCTCTGTCTGTGCAGCCTCACCAGCCTGAAGAAGGAAGAGGCCATGATTGTTTTGTGTGTGATAAAACTGCAGACATCTTTCTATTCACTCACAAGTGGTCAGATTCAGTTAGTTGCTTAATTCAGGCTTCATATCTGTGACCAGTCTCCTGCCAGCAGGCCGGTCTCAGTCTCAATACATCAATTAAACTGAATATGCTCAGCCTCTGTTTATTGGTGAACTCATCCTGCATCTTCCATTTTCTCCTCTTTGTCCACTCCTCTCTTTTGGCTCTAGATCTTTGTCTTCCATCAGTCCCTGTCTCTTCCTTGTCACTGTCTCTCTCTCTCTCGTTACCAGCCGTGATATCTAGTGTGTGTCATCGTGGCAAAATGTGGCTCTGAAGTCATCTAATGTAGCGGGAACAACCACAGAGGCTGTTGTGACACTTTGGCAGAAGTTTTGTTTTCTTTCTGTGGACAGATTTTGTCACTGCGACAGCATCACAGCTGAGCAAGAAGCAGTCATGAGTCTTTATAGGTATGTACTTAAAATGATCGTCGATTTCAAGAATGTATAGAGCCCCAGCAAGGATGTGAGAGGTTTAGGGTGTGGAAGTAGGGATGGGGCCACTGGCCTCCCACTCTGTTGTCCGAGCTCACATTTGTTTGCTGAACACTGTGTCCAAGTTTAGATTTCTGTCCTCTCTATGACATTAGGTAAAACTACAAACCAGAACATGCTCATCAATAATGTAGCAATGACTCCTGAGTACATATCTAGTTTGTGTTCTTCGTAATGTGTGAATCATATGCTTGGTTTTGAATCTTTTGTGCTTGTGTAGTTTGTTCTCATCCTTTCTCCAGGTCTTCATGGTGGAGAGGACTTTGTGTGGCGCAGGTTCTCAATTCAATTCAATTCAATTTTATTTGTATAGTGCAGAGATCGCAGTTTTTGTATTAGCTTACCACTTATAATTTTTGTCAACAAGTTTGTCCATGCTTTAAATCTCCTATGTTTCTCTGTTCTGTGCACAAGACATCAATTGCATGTGTCAGCTTTAAAAGAAGGATCCCAACCAATTTGCTCTTCGGCTTTTCTTCAATTATTTCCTGTTAAAGATGTTTTTGGGACTATTTATTTATTTGAGTGCGAGGGTCTAAAGACAGTGGGTTTTGTATACTGGATCATAAAGCCCTTTCAGTCAATTTGTGATTTGTAGAGGCAAACAAAGTAACATTTATACAAACATTCACATTCTTGCATGTGTCTCCACATTCTTGAAAGCTGCTGTGTGTGAGACTACTGTGCAAAAGCAGGCTTAATTTAGCTCCTAACTATAAACATTTTCTTTGGCTTCAGTAGGTGTTTAATTAGTGAGCTGTCAAACTCAGATTCCATCAGTATGGGAATCATATTAGCACTTTCACACTTGTCGTTATACCACTGCAGACACCCACAGCAACACTGATCAAAGCCTGTCAGTGTTACAGTTTTCTTCATCGCATCAACAGAAAAACATGCTAAATTCTCCTCCTCGATGAGAAAACTTTAAAACTGAGGACTGAATACGAGCCAAGGATGAAAACTATGAGAGCATGTCCCACTGCTGCAAACATGTCTGAACTGTTTTTGGTTGTTGAATCAAACTCTCCTACCTCTCCCAGTTCCTCGTGCGACTGTTCCAGGTACGGGGTTTCCCTGACATGTTCGTTTGGATCAAGGTCAATGTACGAGTCGTCTTGGCGCTCCGACGTGTCGCTGTCACTCTCCTCGCTCTTCTCCAGGCCTTCTGGGTCGGACTCCTCGTGGTCCTGCTCTCCCTCGCGGTCCGACTTGTCCGAGTACAGGTCGGGGTCTTTCAAATGGTCACTGTCACTGAACCTGGAGGAAGACAGGAGGAGAGAGTGGTGGAGAGGTTTACGAAAACATACAAATGCAACAGACACTTTTAAAGACTAAGTGAGTTGTACAAGAGAAGTACAGATTTCATTTCTTTACTCACTGGAAACCGTGCATGTTGTGGGCTCGCAGGAGACTGTAGAAATTGATGGAGTGTTCTCCGCCAGTAGCGACTGTGCTCATGTCCTCCTTCCCCTCACGGATCATGGTCCTCTTCAGCAGGCTGGAGCACTTCAGGGCCAGCTCTAAGGCGTCCATCCAGCATCGACCTGAGAGAGAGATTTCAATCCATTATCAAACTGCAGGAACATGCATTTAGGTTGTGTTTACTAGAGATGATTTTTGTTCTTCTGGGACTTTTAACCCTACTCTTTATATCATTCTTAAAGGACTGATCTTTCTCATGTTGACATTGATATAATTTTTTAAATTAATATAGGAGGGGGAATATTTTTTCATGTGTGTAAGGAAAACCATGTCTGACTAACCGCTTATTTCTAAGCATCTTCAGGACACGATATTGTGCGTGCATTTTCACACTTTAAGACTCTGAGATTAAAAAGCGTAAATGGAAAATATAATGGATTAAATAGCAAACAGGGAGCCATTTTTAATTTGGCTTCTGCTTCCCTGTTCCAGCACCATGGAGAGAGACTAATGGGAGCAGGGAGAGACTGGGTTGGATGTTTCAGCACCATGGACAGAGACATAGTGTTTGTGGCTCACAAGAAGAAAACTTCATGGAAATGTTTAAATATACATTTCACATCTCAGGGGTTTATTCTATATTTCATTTAATTTTAATTCTACTTTTTATCGCAACTCATACATACCCCATACATTGGAAGATTTCTTTTACATTTTGTAAAACCACAATGTAACCTTTCTACAGGAGACATATTTACTAAGCACTTTATATTTGTAATACATACAGATACAGTACACACATGTATACTCCGACCCCTTCACCTTTTTACATTTTGTTATAGTGCAGCCTTCTGATTTTTTTCCACCAACAATCTACACTCAATACCCATAATGAGAAGTAAATACAGAATTTTAGAACATTTTTGAGAGACTGAAATGTGTTGTGCTGTTTTTTAAAAAAAAACACAAAAAAAAAAAAAAAAACTTGTTCAATGGGATTAAAAAACTAAATGAGGGCAGAGTGTCTTCTGCGTGTGTATTTCATTCTAATTGATCGTGGATTACCCTGTAAACTTGGCAGTCTTAAGCCCTGACCATCAGAGAGATAATATCAATACCTGATATCAGCCACTAAGAGGGCAGGTACAGGTCAAGCACAGTAATGAACTGGTTTAAATAAAGGATAAGGCTTTGAGTCATTTCCACAAAATGGCAACATAGGTAGGATTAAGCTGATAATAATAATAATGTTTATGGAACAGATATCAATATGTGTTGCCAGCTTATTGGTTTATCACACGATGTACGCGAGGACGGTGACAACACGGACAGATAACTGAAGTGTGAATGACAGCTTGTCTCTTACCATCAGACTCAGAGGCAGCACGAAAGATGAGGTGGCTGCTGGGTAATGGCTGCGTGATGGAGCCCACTGCTTCCCCTTTAGGACCCTGTTGAGAACAAGAGTTGAGGGATGTTATTTTGACTCAGTGTCTTAATTGGTGCATTAATCATTTTGATCTTTGTCTCGTTTTTTTTTTTTATAGGTGGTTTACATATCTCCTTTGTGATTTGCTCGTTAGGTTCATAGATCTTGTCTTTCTTTTTTCATCATTTAGAATTTATTAGTATGATTCATATGTGTGGAAATCTACACTCTAGACACTATGTCATTATGAAATAATCTACGAGAGGGGACAGATGTGATAGAAACTGAATGGGTGAAGTGTTTATCTCAATCGTGAAGAGGAGAGTGGAGAGGAAATCAAAAACACAGGCTGATGATTGTGATTCAAGCCTTTTCATAGCGGCAACAAAGGGAAAACACTTGAAATATGAAGCCAGCGATGAAAAACCAAATCACAGTTGGAGTGGACGAGAGAACACAGCTGCACACACATCAGCAAATGGAAAATGGGCTGCTGCCAAATAGGAAAATGGCTGGCGTGTCGTATAATTTTCTGCATCTGTCCTTAATTAAACAAAGATGAGCTCTTCATTATACAGTTAACATCCACATCGGTTTCACTGTTTGTTTTAACTGCAGGGGACAAAGGGATTTTGTTATGAATGGAAAATCATTGATCCCCTGATGATCTCCACCTGAATATCTGTTTGTGTTCAGTTTGTTTCTTTCATCACTGGCAGGAAAAACAGACTGAACTCATCTGCATAAGAAATTACTCTTCTTCTCTACTTCTCCTATTATCCGTCTTTTTCCAACACAATTATAAAGATAAATGTAAACTAATACATGGCACATTTAAATGAATTTGAATGGCACTGGGAACAGTGTTAATTTGCTTTAAGAGTTAGATGAGAAGATACTGATTGTAAAGTACATATGATGCTATAGCTAGTTGCTGGTTAGTTTAGCTTAGATTTAGCACAAAGACTGGAAACAAGTGAAGACAACTAGCTGGCTGTTGCCGGCGTGGAGGCATAATGAACAAAATTTTTCCAGTGGTGAAACTGCTTTTAGTAATACTATTAGACCTGTGGAAATATTTATCCTTTAAAAGCTTTTAATTCCTTCTCATCAGTGCTTTTAGCTCAGAGTATCTAAATCAAGTTAACGTTAGGCTGAATAGTCTGTTATTCTGTTTTTTAAATAAATACCAGAAATTTGTTGCAGACGACAGTGAAATTTCCAAAAATGGATAACCCCAACTCAACATTCCCTGATAACTGACCTGAGTAAATCCTGTATCTTATAGTGCGTTCTGACCTTGACAGCCCAGATGGACTGTTCCAGCGGGTGGAAGAGCTTGAAGCAGAAGCCGTCCTTCTTGGAGGGCCTCTCGATCAGCTCGCAGGCGTTGAGCAGCACCGTTCCCACCCACTGGCCGTTTTTGTGGGTTTTGTAGATGAGCAGGACGCCTGGCTTCAGCACACACCACAGCTTGGTCCAGCTCTTCAGAGTGCCGCGGATCTACAGAGGAAACACAAACATATGAGTGGCAGATATTCGGAGGTTTTACCTGAACAAAATTACTCTCTGCATTAGAGATTTCTAATTATGCAAATTACAAATGCAGAGATTTATCTGTCCTTATTGTGTCTTTGTCCTGAGTATTCTTATTTTCTCATTGTATATTTAATTTTTAAAGCATTAGTTTTGTCTTGTATGATACATCTATAACCAATATGTCAGTAACCTTCTTGAATTTTGAATTCACACTGAACATGTTTAGTGAGGCTTATTCTGGAATGGTAAAACATCTGGACTGTTTCACACCTTTGCAACAAATAAACACAAATGCACTTAACATGATATAATGTGGAGTAGAGTGAAACAAGTGCTGCCAATTCTTTAACTGCTAGACTAAGCCAAGTGTTGTAATTTATGATGAACTCGTGTGATTATTTCCTGATCAAAATGAGTCAGAGAGACATTTTTATATTGAGACATCCATCCTTTGGACACACAGATGAAGTGATAATGATAAATTATCAAAAAAAGTGAAGTCTTGTAACCATGTAAGAAAATATTTTAATTATCTGTTCTTTATTCAACTGTATACAGTTAAACATGCCAGTCACTGTTACAAATGATGGTGTGTGAAATGGAATTCTCTTGAACACACCTTCAGCCAGTCGGCCATGACGATGACAGAGGGGTCAGTGATGGTGCTGAGCAGCTCCTTGGTCGCCCTCTTCTTTTCTTCCCTGTAGTTTTTCTTCTGCACCTGCAGAGAGAACCCACACAGGGACAACTCTTCCAGTCAATCCACACAACTGCAGGAAATAATAATAAAATCCCACACTCGCGTAATTACTGAATCACACTCTGTCAAATGTCTTTGCTAAAGTAACAGCTGGCACCTCCCGACTACAGTGTGAGGTATCTGCTGCATTTGAATTCTTCAATTTAAAGTCATGTATTCTGCCCTTCATGTACTGGGGTGACCCTGGTGCACGATACGGAGGAACAAGAAAGTGAATCCCATCAAATAAACAGTATTTTGAGGATAGGAAGGGTCTTTGTGCACTTTCTTTGCATGTTTTTTAAAAAAGTTTTCCAATAAAAATCTTAATGCACAGAAACCCCTTTTATTGTTTCATCTATTTAAATTCTAAAAAGGATTGGGTCCATCCAATACTGAGAAGCCATCAGGAAACAGAAGAATTTCATCTTGTGATCAAGGAAGTGGCAAATTATAATGGCACTGAGACCGTATGTATAAAAGAAAACATGTTTGTGATCTTATTGTTCTGAAAACTTAAATGACGGACAAACGTTTCAGAGCTGGTGTGTAAATCTTATTTGCACAATATGAGGTTGTGTTTATTCATTTTAAAATAATCAATTTGGATGAAAAACAGGGACCTGGTGTGCAAAGACCTTTCGAGTGAACCCAGTGTGAAACCACCATCCAGGATAAGCATTTGACTATACATAGCACGCCTGTTGTCCTGAGAGGTAAGAATTTGGATGCTCTAGACTTAAGCTAATTTAAGCTTATTTACCTTGAGGGACTCCTTCTTGGTGAGCTTTCCTCCAGACGCCGACACATCCTTGTCTGAGCCATTGTACAGCTTTGTTTCAGACTGTGAATACACAGAGGGAAGTAAGTAATTCATCTCTCTCATCTCTTCAAATGTTACATGCAAATCTATCACGTGTCCATCTCTCATATATATATATATATATATAAAAAACACTACTCAGACATGTCTGATGATTATAACCAAAGCTTTCATGTGAGGATTTCAAAACGTGTGCAGTCTACGTAACAATCACCGGCTTGTTTTACTCCTGCACTCTGTGTAAGCTGCTCTAAAAACAGTCTGACTAAAAGACTAAATGCAATCCAAGCTACAGCGTTTTCCCTGTTAACAATAAATCTGTTACCATAAATGTTACAATCAACAAACTCGCATTACATCGGAGGATTAACAATAATAACGTACTTGTGCGAGCGATTGTTTGCTTTTTCCTTCCTAAGTCTGTTTGCTCCCTGGATAGTCCTAACTTAGCTCAGTTAGCAGAATGAAGCCTATAAATGCCAGTGCAGGAGCCAGTCTGCCAGCTCCCTTTACAAGCCAGCAAGAGAGATTTAAAGTGCAGAGACAGGTGGTGCAGTGTGGGAATCCTAAAGCAGGGCTGCTTAAATGCCCACAGGCAAGGTTGAAGGAATAGAGAAGATGCATGAAAACAAACTAGGAAGCTGGAATGTTTTCTCCTTCTGATTGCTCTTTGTGCGCACTAGATAATAACTTGTTTGCACACATAATTCACTAAACATGGTGCATCTGTCACAACTTCAGATGCACACTGCTACTGTGAAGTAGAGAACTCAGCTAATCAAGGTTAAGGGTGAGGGTTGTGTTCAAAGCATAAGTCAACTATGCCTTTACTATGCAGATATCAAGAAGGAAATTATATTCAGTACAATTCAGAACAATTCCAAAGAGTTTCCTTTGGACGAGCTATGGGTTGAAGTTTTTTTAAAAAGCAGATCTTAAATCAAAGTCTCGTCTTTGCCTTTTAGAGGCCTTGCTGATATCAAGAGCTTTTCGAGGCAGACCAATGTCCAACATGTTTGAAACTTTCAAACTTAAATTGGATTCAAGTCTGATACAAGTGCTTCTGCAGTGACTCAGAGGGAGACTTCGACAGATAAAGCCGACGTGCCTCCTCCACATTCATCCGACTTGAAAGGAGGACTCAGTTTAAGTTTCGGTTGATAAATGTTTGATGCGTGCAATGTATGTGATGTGCGAATCATCTCAATGTAGGCTATCTCAAGCCTGAGGCGAGACTGGGAAAAAGGGGGACGAAGACGTGCACTAATTCCCATATTCTCCAGTCTCATTACAACAGGCACACCAAAGCACCAGATCAATCCGACCCACCCATCACTGAACACTCGCTCAGTGGAGTTATCTGAATCTCACCTTGCTCTTAGAAATGGAATGTGAGTCTTCTTTTAAAGGCAGAGGCAGGAGGTCCTCCTTCCCTCTCTCAAAACCTGTAACAAAAAAATACACCAACATAAGGACATGCTTAGTGTGTCTCTGTGGAGTGAGACAGGATTTTACTGTGACACCAGCAACAGATTCCCCACTGGGCTCCTGGCAGATGGTGACACCGGTGGTCTCAAGGTGACAAAGAGCCTTTAAATATTTTATTATTTCCATCTCCTATCCAAAGGTCATCAGTATTAAGCGAAGGGATGGCTGCAGAGTCTCATCATTACAAGTTGCACCTCCTTTGCTTTAATATGAAAAAATGGGCGTGTTCCTGAATTAGCTTCAAACCAATCCTCCTTTTCATTGTTTTCCCAGCATACATCATAATAATAACTTCATTTGTATATATTTTGATTTTGTTTTGCAGAGGACATAGCTTGGATCCTGAATTCTTAAATGAATGTTGAGAAGAGAAGAGTTGTTACAGCAGCAGATAGTCAGAATGAGGTAGACAAGAGAACACGTGAAAGCATGAAATTAATAAAATAAGTCATTTTCACCTTTCACTACAGATGGAAATATCATTTGTAGAAAAATGTAATTGGGTTAAGTGCAGTGGCACAGGATGAAAGTTCAAGGATGGATATAGGGAGGTATGGTATATAAAATATGAATAAGTATTAAAATGGCATGTCCTTTATGTATAAAAACAGGCATAAACATGTATATATAATAGTCATAACTTCACAAGTGTATAAAACACAACAGGAATAAAAAATTTAATGCAAATGTAAACATAAATAGGTGAGGTTACCAATAAGATGCATACTAATTAAATAATATAATAAGTAAATGTTATACAGATAGAAATTAAAGTAATAGGAGGAAACTACTGTGATTATGGAACTTTTTATTTCAATAAAAAACATTTCAAACTTAACGGTTGGATACTTTGTACAGCAATAACGTGATTTTTCATATCAATTTCTTATTAACTCTGCTGCAGAATTATGAATACATATTAATACTGATTGTGAAAAGGTACACATTCCAGTTTCAAGGATGGATATTTCCTTTAACTAGTTAATAAAGATCTCATGGAGTGAAACACTATGAATACTTTTCCTTTATGTGCTACCTGACCAGGAATCAGTTGCATACATACACGTTTGGTTCGAGAACATTTAAGCTGCTTGAATGATTCCATGAAAGTATTAACCTAAGCATCAGTGAGATTTTCTTCTCACGCAAAATACCTGCCTGCATTTAATTAATCCCCACCAGAAACAGGAGTCTTTTCATTTAACTGATTACATCTAACATCAGAGCCACGTTCCTTTAAATTAGTTCCATCTCCAATAGAGCAGCAGCGGTGATAAACATCGAGACATCAGGGCATGTGATTGTCTTTCCTTCCGTATGTGTGCAGCATTAATGCGAATCCAGCTTCAGTGGGATATTAGACGTCCCACCAGACCATCTGTGCTCACTTGACAGACACATCTCCATGCCAACTTCAGATGGAAAACAACTCAAGGGCAATTCAGCCACTTACAGCGAGCCACCAGAGATGACATAATCACCCTCACCTTCTCCGTCCCTTAAACTCCACATATATGGACAAGAGTGGATGATCGTTACATATGTAATTCAATTCATGAAGTAACAGACGAGCTGGTTTATGCTCAACAGAAGATATAGCATTGCGTTAACATGTGATGAGAGGATTTTCATAGATAAATCTGGGATGCATGCTGATGTTGAGTCAATGTGAGTAGATGAACTCTTCAATTTACATGCTTGAGAATTAGTAATCAGGCAGTCTGACTAAACGAGTGCAGACCACCGAGTGTCCCATTTTAATTGGAGACACTTCAGGGCGCCACTTCTCCACGCCATAGGCCTCAGACCGTAAACTTGAGGCAGCTTGTTTCATAATTACAGCTAGGAGACACGATGAATAATGAAGTTCATTAATATTTAGCTTCCATTTAATGTGGGAAAACAAAAAAACACTTTAAGTTTATCGCGAAAGACAAAAAAATGCCTCTCAAAACCCTCTCATAACACAACACAGAGTGTCTAAAATAATCCACCTGGATATGAGGGATCTTTCAATTGCAATCTTAATCCTATTTTTCCCACATGAACCTTTTTGATACATTTTTTTGGATTATGCAAAAGCATTAAGGACAATATCTTCGCTTAGAAATGTGCTTTGTACCGTTTTTTCTACTTACGACAAAGGCAAAGCAGAGTGTGACAACACCAGCAGACTTATCACACAGGGTTTGAGTGGGGTGTCTCTCACACAGATATGGGCTACGGTTTATTTTTTTTGGAAGTTAGTGGCTCAACAGGCTGATATTAGGACTCACCTCTGAATGTGTCCAGTAACGACAGATGTTTTATACATGTGTGTATTATAGAGCACTTATCGCAGCTGTTAAACACTTGTTATGAAACATTTTACTTATTTTTATTAAGTCACCATTCGGTTGTTTGACAAGCAAAAATGTAAAATGCTTGATGGCTCCAGGATCTTAAATACGTTGTCCCTCTTGTCTCATGCTATTATAAATATAATCATTTTGGTTTTGACAGTTGGTAGTTGCCACTCGAGTTCTCAATTTAAATCTAATGATTGCATATCTTTCTGTCATTCCTTAGTTATTCACAGATCGATCTTTTGGATCATGTCGTCTAATGTTGATACTTTTGTCTTTTGTTCTTGCTGTCCCTTTGTTCCGTTGTTTGTTGTCCTCTATTATTGGCTGTTGTACTGTTCTGTTCGTAAGTGTTTGGTGATGCCCTCAAAAAGGAGAGATTTACCCTATGGCAATACATTTCTTATGTACAAGACATTGATGGATCCAAACTATTAATCAAAAATGTCATTAGCAGATTACTGATGATACAATCAGTGGTTAGTTGTAGCTCTGATTGAAAAGGAACCCTTTGAGAAATGACTTGGAGTGAGACTGCTGAGCACGGGGACGAGCAAAGGTCAGCGCCCACTCTCCCAGACAGAGAGGATGATGCTGCCTCTACGTGCTTTATTTTGAAGCATTATAGATTAAGTAATCTAATAACTATTAAACATGATTATCTTGTCACACATTCTGTGCCATCACATCATTATGGCACTGTGCCGGGCCTCTTACAAGTTGGCTGCTGAAATTTGGCCCACAGTTTTTTACCTGATACGCACTATCCATAATCCCCCAGCAAAAATGAGCAGCCCCAGGGATGCTGGGAAAAAACAATTTAAGTAGTTGGAGCTCAGCCACACAACTGTTGCACAGTTAAAAAGCTGAATAAAGCGCAGTTGTAATGGAACACACTCATCTTTGCAATTCACAATACAGTCAGGGATTTTTAACTGAATTATAGCAAAAATAAGTAACATAAAGCAGTTTCTTTTTTTTTAATCAAATATCTTCTCAGTGCTGCAGCTTTGCAAAACCCTGCATGTGCTGTTTATGTGTGAGGGGTTGAAGCAGTAGGAGACTCACGTCCCACTGCAGACAAACTGGGGAATTTGCCTGTAAAAATCGGGAGCTGCAGTGATCTCACTCTGCATCAAAGATCATAGGCAGAAGAGAAGAGTAAAGAAACTGAGGGGGAGAGAGGGGGAGGGAGAGAGAGAGAGAGAGAGAGAGAGAGAGAGAGAGAGAGAGATCGCTGCTAAAAGAAAGTCGTACTACATTACGCCACCTCGCATGCACGCACACACACACACACACAAACAAGTGCATACACTCTAGATCACCAGGCACCAATATGCATCAGATAACAATAGTGCAGAAGAAAGTAAAGGAAACTATATTGATTGAGAGAGGAGCTAAATGATGCAGTTATAAATACATTTATCTTTCAACCCCAAAAAATCTATAGAGACATTTTCAGCTTTAAATAGTGCTGCAGTATTTGTTGTTGGAAATGCGAGGGCTGCCATAGCAACAGGTGACCTAAGAACAACACAAGGAGGAAAAAGCTGTCAGCCCGGTTACTCCTCAGAATACATCACTTTTAAGGAGTAAATTGCCTGAGTGCTTGCTCCTGTGTGAAACTTGCCATGGCAACAGCGTGTGTGGACATACGATTATGGCTCCAGATTCATGAAAACTGAAAGATGGCTTGATCCGTCGAAGGAAAAGGAAAATGGGGACAATCCGCTGGTATTGATTTTCAATTTAATTTCAGATGTCTACTCAGTAAGTAGCATGCACCAAACTCTGAATCCCTTTATTTATGTCTAGTATTGTGAGTTTTATCAATGTTAACATATTTGTTGTGGATACACAGATGTGGTGACTTATTTGTTTAGTTAAGTTGCAACACCTCAAGTTCATGAGTAAAAATAGTTATTTAGGGGTGAGGAACATTAATGAGCCTACACTTCCCACAATGCAATTCAGCATCATGTTCCTCTGACCCCGCCTGTTTGTTAAACATGCAAGTGCTTCAAGCATCTACAAGCTTTTAATGCGGAGAGAACACTGAGATCATTATGACATCTTCATTTTCTGCACTCTTCACTGGCTTTTCCAGGATTACCAACTCTAGCTTGTATCCCTTTAGGTATTTTATTGTATATCTAACCTACAGCCAACCTCTGTTCATTGTGAGCCACTTCTTATCCTCATGGACAGAGACTCCACTTATTGTTTCGACATGCAGCCAAGCCATGCTGACCTCAGGATGAGCAGTGATTATAATTATTGACCACAATGGTATGGCTCTTTCTACTCTCTCACTGACTTTATTAATACCCCATGTTCATCATCCCAATCAACCTCCCCCCCCCGGCAGTTAGTCCTTGACTACAGAGGAAACAAAACAGCTGAAAGTGCACAGACCTCACTTCATGGTGGACATTTGAGTCATTTCACAGCAAGTGGAAAAAGAGAAATTGCACAGCTGAACTAGACACACATTAGAAGGGACACGCTCTTATTCTGTCTGCACACAGGAAGCTTGATGAGACAAAAGCACATTATCGCTTTGAAGAGGTGACATTTCAGGATGCGACTGGATGAAAGAGGGGGGCATCAGG